ATACAGTATTGCCATTTCACTCCTAGGTATATACCCAACTGAAATGAATGCATATGACCACATAAAGACATATGTTATGGCAGCTTTAATTGTAACAGCCCCAAACTGGAAGCACCTCAAATGTTCATCAGCAGATGAATGTATAGATCCATAGAATGGAATATTACTTAGTAATAAAAAAGAATGAGCACACAACAAAACAGATAAATTTCAAAATAATTGAGTGAAAGAAACTATACAGTATAGTCTATGATTCCATTTATATAAATTAGGAGAAAATGCAAGCTAACATATAGTAATAAAAAACAGATCAATGGTTGTCTGGGGATAGTATCAGGGAGAATGGAAGAGGGCACAGGAAACTTCCAGGGGTGGCAAGTTATTTTTATTATTTTAATTGTGGTGCTGGCTTCATGGGTGTAATACATACAACAAATTGTACATTGTAAATATGTGCAGTTTATTCTATGTCAATTGTACCTTTAAAAAGGTTTTTAAAAGATTTCCCAGCCGGGCTCGGTAGCTTAGCCTGTAATCCCGCACTTTGGGAGACTGAGGTGAGTGGATTGCCTGAGCCTGTGGGTTCGAGACCCGCCTGGGCAACTTGGCGAGACCTCATCTCTACAATAAATCAAAAAAATTAGCCGGGTGTGATAGCGCACGCCTGTAGTTCCAGCTACTTGGAAGGCTGAGCGGAAGGATGACCGGAGCCCAGCAGGTCGAGGCTGCAGTGGCCGGGAGCGGCCACTGCACTCTAGTCTGGGCGACAGAGTGAGAGGCCAACTCAAAAAAAAAAAAAAAAAAGATTTCCCAAAGATAATATTGGAACTTGAAATATAACTTCCAAAAATTGTGTTGCCTCCTTAGTTATATTTTTCATAAGCTAATGTTTAATTAGCCTGTGTGTAAAATAGACAGGAGAGTTACTCCAACCAAAAGAGGCCACATATGATGACTTGGAAGCTCCAAGGAATTTTGCAAGGCCTGATCTTTATATTAATTCTATTTTAAATAATTTTTTTTCATTTTATGGTTTTAAAAGTTAAAACAAGAAAGAATATAATTTTAAAAATTCAAGCAGTATAAAATGGAATGAAACATGAGTCATCTTCTTACCCCATGCCTCAGTTCTATACTCCTAAGCTACTATTGCCAATAATTTTTATTTATCCTTCCAGAAAATATATATTTCCATTTATTTAAAACACAAATTATATTTCTTATACATATTGTTTTCACTCTCCATATGAGTAAGTATAATTTCCCTTAGTTTTTTGGGACAATTTATATATTCTTTTTATATAATTAAATAATTAATTAAATATTAATTTTGAAGTATCAAAATTTATTTAACCACTTTATTGTTGGAAGATAGAGGATAAAAGGATGATATTTAATCATTCAGTAATAATCAAAGATTGTTTAAAATTTTATTGTTGAACATAATATATGCAGAAAAATGATAAACCTTAAAAGTATTGCTTAACAAGTTATAGAGCAAACACCTATGTAACTACTAGCCCTGTCAATAATACAACATTGTTGACACCTTAGACACTTCCTCTGTATTCCTTTCTGAACCCAACTCCCATTCTTCCCACAAAGATATGCATTTCTAAACAATATATACAGTAGTTTGGTTTTGCTGTATTTGGACATTTTTATAAAGGGGATCAACTTTGGAAATTGCTTTTTTTGTAAAACATTATGTATTATTTATTTTAAAAGTCAGCTTGTCTTTACTATGTATTATCTCATCATGTGTATATATGACACTATCCATTCAACATTGATTTGGGCTATTTCCAATTTATTTCTACTATGATTATACTATAATCTGTTACACTGCTATAAATATTCTTATATATGTATCCTGGTGCATGCATTTGTTTAGAGTTATGTATTTAGGAGTAGATTTGGGAACTGTAGAGTATATAGACCTTTAGCTTTACCAGGTAATGTCAGACTATCTTTTTAAGTAGTTGTACCAATTATAGTGGCACCAAGAGTGTATGAGAGTACATTTGCTTCTCATCAACACTTGCTATTGTCAGACAATTAGAAATTTTTGTAAACAGTTATGCAGTGATATCTCATGTTGGTTTTAATTAGCATTTCACTGGTTACTAATGAAGTTAGTTATATAGTTATTGGTCATTTGGATTTTCTGTTTTGTACTGCCTGTTCAAGTCTTTTGCCCATTTTAAATTGTCTTTTTCTTACTGATTTATAGTAATTCTTCATATATTCTGGTTTCATGTCCTTTGTTGGTTATGTATACTGAAAATACTTTTTTTCCCACTCTGTGGCTTGCACTTGGTGACATTCTTCGTAGAGTCTTTTAATGAATGATAATTTAAAAATTTACTGTCGGAAACAGTGGCTCAAGCCTGTAATCCCAGCACTTTGGGAGACTGAGGCAAGAGGATTGCCTGAGCCCATGGGTTCAAGACCACCCTGGGCAGCTTGGCGAGACCTCTCTCTACAATTAAAAAAAGAAAATTAGTCAGGTGTGGTGGCACATGCCTGTAGTTCCAGTCACTTGGAAGGCTGAGGTGGAAGGATTGCCTGAGCCTAGCAGGTCGAGACTGGCGGTGGCTGTGAGCATGCCACTGTGCACTCCAGTCTGGGCAACAGAGTGAGACTCCGTCTCAAAAAAAAAATTATCCCAATTATTGCCTTTATGGTTAGTTTCTCTTCTTTTATGGTTAGTATTTTTCTGTCCTGTTTAAGAAATCCTTGCCCTCTGGGATTTTGATTTTTGGTTGCATTGAATCTGCAGATCAATTTAAGAGAAATTGACTTTTAAAATATAGATGTAATCTGTGATCATGGAATATCTGTCTATTTTCTTGTATGTATAGGTAAAATTTTATCATTTCCCCCACAAAGGCCTTCAACATTTTGTTTGAGCTAGTCCTAGTTTTACAAATTCATGTGGTAAAATACATCAAATTATTCATGAAATTGTCATAAACACATCACAAAACTTTGGAAAGGAGAACAAAAATCAATCACCCATTTAACACAGTAGCTGATATTTAAAGAATGCATCAAAAATTTAAACAATCAATATATTTTATATTCTTTAAAAATTACCCTGGGACTGTATATACTGCTTCTTTTCCTATATGCTTGGACCTCTCCTTTGGGAGGGGTTCTTTAGAATGTATAGCATATTATTTAAAATACAATCATTTCTCTTCATGGAATTTAAATTTTGATCTGGGGAAATGTTACTAACAGATAAATCTGGTGGATAATGTGTACGAAAGGGAGCCCCCTCCCAAAAAAACTGGAATTCTCTTGTGGAGGGCAGGTCCCTTATAGTACAGGCTTACCCTGCTAGGTGAGTGATCTAAGACCCATTGGCATCATTGAGAGGCTGTGTTGGGCTTCGGTGAATTTTTTTTTTTTTTTTTGGTGATTCTTTCAATGCACTTGCCCATTTCATGATGGGTGATTTTCCAGCGCACCTGCCCTCACTGTGCCGAGTGTTCAGCAGTTTTTGACCAAAAATGGCATGACTCCCATGCCCTACTCTCGCCATTCACCTGATCTTTCCTCGAGTGACATTTTTTGTTTCCCTGATGAAACAAGTCCTCAAAGGGAAACAGTTTGCCCATGTGGAAGAGGTGAAACAAAACAACAAGCACTAAAAGGTATCGAGATTGATGAGTTCAAAAACTGTTTTGAGCAGTAACAGAAGCATCTCAGTAGATATACTGCATCCAATGGAGAGTACTTTGAAGTTGCTTGACCTTTAAACATGTAAGAATAAATTCACAGTTTTTTATAAATAAATTCTGGTTTTTGTAGGGTCTCCGCTTATATACTGGAAATTTAACCATGGTACGTGCTCTAAGATAAAGGAAACATAGAAACTGTATTTCACAGTATGATTTTCCATAACAATAATCAGAAACTCTTTAAATGTTTAAATAATTACATAAATGACCCATTCTGGAACATTATACAACCTTTTAAAATTATCATTACAAAATCTGTACAACAATGTGGTAAAATGTTCCTGATATAATATTAAATTTTAAAAGATTTGCACATTGATTGGTATTTTGACCAAGTAAAAATGTATATGAATAAAAAATACTGTAAATAAATATATCAATATGCTCAAAGTGGTTTTGTTATATAAATAGCATTTGGGTTATTTTTGTCTCTTGAAAAAATTTGTATAATTATTTTATTTATATAATTTCATTCTCTTTTGGAGATTAACAGCAACATATAATTAAGACTGAATTTCTAAGCTTTTAATCTTTGAAGATAGGGCTGGGTGCAGTGGCTTATGCCTGTCATTCTAACACTTTGGGAGGCCGAGGTGGGAGAATTGCTTGAGCCTAGGAGTTCGAGACCAGCCTGGGCAACATAGCAAAACCTTGTCTCTACAAAACATCAAAAAGTTAGGCAGGCATAGTGGTGCACACCTGTAGTCCCAGCTACTCAGGAGGCTAAGGCAGAAGAATTGCCTGAGCCCAGGAGGTTGAGGCTGTGGTAAACCATGATTGTGCCACTGCACTCCAGCCCGGGTGACAGAGTGAGACCCCCAACTCCAAAAAAAAATTTGAAGATAGTTGCAGAAGAGCTTGAAATGTGATTTGAGCCTAGTTCAGTGTATGCCTACTTTGAAATTCAATGATATATTTTATGTGAAAGCATTTTATAAACTATTTAATGTATGAAGGAATACTGTCTCTTGTTTTTGCCAGGTGATGCTCATTTTTATGTTTAAATATCCATTTCTTTATAATTACATACAAATAGTCTCTTAGATAGATTGAACCATACAAAATTTCATGTTTATAAGTAAAAAACAATGAAATCACCAATTTTATTTGGTTCAACCTAATAAAAACAATGCACATAAATGAAATAGTTTGCCACTTTTCTTTATTGGCTTTCAAACATTTATAGAAAATAGCAAAATGTCATAAAAGTACATTTGCTTTTTTTATATACTAACAGTAGTTTTATTTCAGTTTCATAATGAAGACCTGGAAAAAATAAGACATCACGAAACTGCCTACAGAGAGGTGTGGGACAAGTATCAAAGTTAGAGATGGCTCAGGAAGAGATCCAAAGGCTCAGCGATGAGCTACAATCGAAGGACAGAGAACAGAGTAAATTAGGTAAGCTGTGGTTTCAGATGACCATTTCATGTTTTAACTGTAATGATCTCTTCTCAGAGAGAAGCATGAGTACACTGAGAAAAAAAATTAAGATAAACACATGAAGGTCTGATAAACAGCCTCATTTTCTAGTGTCCAGAAACTTTTACTGAAGCACAAACATAACATATCTACCAAAAAGTACACAACTCATAAGTGTACACTGCACACTGCAAGAAATCTCCAGCCTTTCAGAAGCCCTTGTTCCTTCTATCTCTACATTCTCCCTTGTCCCCCAGAGTAACCACTCTTCTGACTTGGAACACTTGTGTCTGAGTTTTGACTACAGGCAATCTGTTGTTTGTTTTTCTTGCTCAATCTTATGCCTATGCAATTTATTCATGTTGTTTCACATAGCAGTTGTTTGTTCACTGTTTTTATAATATTTCATTAATAAACATACCACAATTTATCCATTCTACTTGGACAGTTTTCAGTTTTGATATGTTATGAATACCACTGTGAACATTTTTGTATATGTCTTCTGGTGGACTTGTCTGCACATTTCTGATTGTGATAAGAGTAGAATTAGTGAATCAAAGGGTTATAGGCAGATTCTATTTTGGTCTTCAAAGTAGCTATATTAACTTAAGCTTTTCTCGGTTGTATATGAGATTTTGGTTTCTCCACATCTGTTGTCGATACTTGGTACTATCATTCTTACTAACTTCACCTTTTATGTTATGTGTGTGATAGTATTTAATTGTGACTCTAAGTTGCTTTTTCTGATGGCTAATAAAGGTGAAAACCCTTTGGTTTGTTTGTTGTTGTTGTTACTCTTTTTGATATACTATTTTGTAAGTTCCTGCTCAAGTCTCTTGTATATTTTTCTGTTGGGTTGTATCGTTGCTTCATTTGCTTGTAGGAGTTCTTTATATATCCTGGATATGAGCCTTTTGTTGGTTATAAATGCTATATTGTTGTTGTCATTGTGTTTGCCATAGAGGAATGTGAATATTCATCAAGTAGGGTTTAAAAGCGTTATTCTTTATGCCTTCTGGGGTTTTGTGTGTAAAACCTTTTCTTCACTACAAAATTATTGAAGTTCACTCCTAATTTGGGGGCTTTTAAAAGTACTTTGATGGTTTCATTGTTTATGTTTAAATCTTTGCTTTATCTAGAATTTATTTTAGCATAAACTTTAAATATTTTAATTATCTCCTCTATATTTATTATTTGTGATGATTAAAAAATTAGACTGATTCTTTTGCAAATGAAGTATATAGTTTACTTTAGAATCATACACATTTTAAAAATGTTAAATGTATAAAACTGTAATGATTATGGCAAACTGATTGTGTGATTAAAAACAAAGAATAGAGGCACGTGGGTCTCTGAGACCCAAAAGGTGAGGACTTCTTTGCGCCTGGGAGGCTGCGCCCCGGTGCCTCTGCGGCACTCACCATGCCACAAAACGAGTATATTGAATTACACCGTAAACACTGTGGATATCATTTGGATGACCATGAGAAAAAGAGAAAGAAGAAGAGTCGAGAGGCTCATGAATGTTCAAAGAAGGCAAAGAAGATGATTAATCTGAAGGCTAAGCTCTATCATAAGCAGCGCCATGCTGAAAAAATACAAATGAAAAAGACTATCAAGATGCATGATAAGAGAAACACCAAGCAAAAGAATGGTGAAAAGACTCCACAGGGAGCAGTACCTGCCTATCTGCTGGACAGAGAGGGGCAGTCCCGAGCTAAAGTACTTTCCAATATGATTAAACAAAAACGAAGCGAGAAAGCAGGAATAATGGGAAGTCTCTTCACCTAAAGTTCGTGCCCAGGGAGAAACAGAAGTATTAAAAGTTATTCGAATGGGAAAAAGAAAGAAGAAGGCATGGAAGAGGATGGTTACTAAAGTTTACTTTGTTGGAGATGGCTTTACAAGAAAACCACCCAAATATAAGTCATTAGGCTGATGGGCTTACGTTTCAAGAAAGCCCATGTAATGCATCCTGGACTGAAAGCCACCTTTTGCCTGTCAATACTTGGTGTAAAGAAGAGTCCCTCATCTCCACCATATACAACTTTGGGTGTTATTACCAAGGGGACCGTCATTGAGGTCAATGTGAGCGAGTTGGGCCTTGTGACACAAGGAGGCAAAGTCATTTGGGGGAAATATGCCCAGGTGACCAACAATCCTGAAAATGATGGATGCATAAATGCAGTCTTACTGGTTTGACAGAAGTTTCATACAAGTAACTCCTTATAATTATTGACCCCATATCAGTTGGGAAAACCACCTTTACTGTGATGTTTCTTAATACGACCAAAGAGCCTTACTTGTCTGCAGTCATCGAGAGAACTATTTATTAAATTGTAAAAAAAAAAAATTTTTAATTATCCATTAAAAACATTAAAATGTAAAAAAACATTAAATTGTAAAAAAAAATTTTTTTTAAGTTAAAATGGTCCCATTTAAAAAAAACAAAAACAAAGAGTATCAGGAAGATAGATTTTGTTTAGAAGCATTTTAAACAGTGAACACAAATAACTTTTCAAAATGATAGAAATGTTCTATATTCTGATTGGGTTGGTGAGTATACAGTTGTATGCTGCATTTGTCAAAATTCATCAACTATATACTTGAAAGGCAGAATTTTACTATAGGCAAATTATACCTCCATAAATTCAATTGAAACAATAAATTTGGCCATGTGAGTGTGATGAGAAGCAGTATTTACTGCTTGTAATAAAGAAGGAGAAGGGAAAAGCAGGATATTCAGTACCCTTAATAGTTACATTTGGTCACAACAGAACATAATCAGAAAGCAACCTGTACATCAGCAGTTGCTCTGTCTGGTAGATCCTAAACTATCAACTGAAAGCTGTCTCACAGTGAGTGTACCAGGACTGTTGGGAAGCTGAATTAGCAAGCCCTTTTTGAATGTTATATGCCGTATCATTGTGTGTCCTATTTGTAACTTCCTGAGTCATCCACTTATAGCAGAATTTATTTCTAGGTGTACGTGCTAAATGACAGTATTCCCCAAGTATTCGTTTACTTCTGTCAGCAAACTCTTTTTAAATAAAGGGCTTTATTTTAGTTTATTCTCTAGCTCTCTTTATATCACATGAAAAAGTTTGGATGAAAATGAAAAATTTTTGTCAATGATAAAAATATTTTTCAATAATAAAAAATTTTATATAAAATATTTAGAGTATTCTTCAACAAATGAATATCAAGAAACACATGAATTTTTAAACATTTAAGAGCCTTATTACCCAACTATAATATGTGGCCTTTATCGCATCCTGATTCAAACAAGTTTTTAACCTTTATGAAACTATTGGAAATTTGAACACTTGCTTCAAATGTGAATGAAAGAATTATTGTGAAGTTTCTTTAATCATGTGTAATGGCATTGATTTTATGTTTTAAAAGAGCCCTTATTTTTTAGACACATATTCAGATATTTATAGATGAATGATATGATGTCTGGGATTCATTTCAAAATAATACATCCTCTAGCTTATACTTGCACAAAAATTAACTCAAAATGGATCACAGAGTTGAATGTAAGAGTTAAGACTATAAATCATTTAGAAGAAAACAGGAATAAATCTTCATAATCTTGGGTTAAGAAATAAGATGTTAAATATGACACCAAAAGCAAAAGCTATGAGAAAAACTAATACATTGGCCATAATCAAAATGTAAAACTTTTTAACTTCAAAAGATACCATCAGGAAGTGAAAAGACAATTCACGGACTGGGAGAAAATATTTCCAAATCATATGTTTGATATGAAACTTATATACAGAATATGTAAAGAATTCTTACAACTTAATTATAAAAAGACAGCCCAATTTGGAATTGGGCCATGGTTTGAATGGATATTTCTCTGAAGAATATATGTGAATGACTAATACGCACAGGAGAAGATGCTCAACACCTTCCATCACAAAAATTGATAAGTATGTGAGGTGATGGGTAGGTTAATTAACTTGATTTAATCATTCCATAATGTTAACATATATCAAAACATTATACCCCACAAATATATACAGTTACTGTCAATTTTTTAAAAGGCTGAACACAGTGGCTCTCACCTGTAATTCCAGAACTTTGGGAGACTGAGGCAGGAGCATCATTTGAGGCTAGGAGTCTGAGACCAGCCTGGGCAACACAGGAAGACCTCATCTCTACAAAAAAAATTTCTAAATGAGCCAGGTGTGGTGGTGTGTACTTGGAAGGCTACTTGGAAGGCTGAGTTGGGATCACCTGAGTCCAAGAGGTCGAGGCTGCGGTGAGCTGTGATCATCCCACTGTACTCCAGCAAGGGTGACAGAGGCAACTCCAACTCAAAAAAAAAAAAAAAAAAGTTCAGAGCTGTTAATCATTAGGAAAGTGCAAAGCAAAACCATTAGATGCCACTTTATACCCACTAGACAGACTACAATTAAAAAGACAGACAATAATAAGTGTTAGCAGGGATGTGTAGAAATTGGAACCCTTATACATTGCTGATAGGAATGTAAAATGGTATAGATACTTGGGAAAATAGTATGACTATTTCTCAAAATATTAAACATAGAATTACCACATGCCCCAGCAATTCCATTCCTAGGTATTTACCTAGGAGAAATGAAAACATATGTCCACACAAAGACTTGTATGTAAATGTTCGTAGCACTATTGTTTATAGTAGTCAACAGTTAGAAACAACCCAAATGTCTATCAATTGGTAAACAGATAAATAAAATACAGTATATCCATATTGTGCAGAAAATACTTTACATAGCTTGCCTGACACTGCTGTCCTTAAGAAAGCCTTACTTGTAAGGTTAGCATTTGGTTGTCATCTGGTAATTTGGATTTGGGGAGTGTTGCCATGATTCCTTATTTGATAATAGAGGCTCAGTGTGCCCACACTGTTTACATGAACAATGTGGTCTATGCTGAACATTTGCTTTCTTTTGGGGAGTCTGGGATTTTGGTATATGCTAGGCAGCAAA